TTGTTCAGCATGGGGGTGAGTAGAAAATGAAGGCTAATCATGTTTTGGGTGTACTATTCCTTTAAGCATCCCAAGGTGGCCGTCTGTGGGAGTGGGGCAATGTGAAATGCCCTATCTGTCATGCTTTTGGTTATATTGTGCTTTATTTTGCTCTATGTTACCTAGTTTTATTGGTTTAATTCCTTTTTTGTTGTAATTTCTAGATTTGTTAAGTTCTCATGTTTTTCTGCTGTCCTCTGTAGCCCTCTTGTGTGTGTGTATGTTCCTTTCCCCTTGGCTCCCTCGTTGTCTCCTCTCACACCTGCTCCATGTCAGCTCGTTAGCCCTCCCTTTGTCTGTCAGCTATATATGCTCTCCCTCTGCTCTCCCTCTTTGTTGGTTCCTTGTTGTTGCTGGTCCTGTCTTTGCTGTAGTCGTCTACCCTCGTCTCTCCCTGGCTCCTTCTACGTGTTTTCCCTTGATGTCTCCATAGTTCTGGTCTGTTACATTTTTAATTGGATTTTTGGACTGCCTTTGTTAACCATTTTCATTAAACTCCAAGTATTCACCTCTGCCTCTGCATTTGGGTCCTCCAAACCACAACCAACCCTGACACTATCCTCTAGGCCGCCACTCCCTCTATTTTTTTTTTCAAGGCTGACTTAGTAACTAACTTAATTTTTTCTTCTTTTTTTTAGCATTGTTATTCAGGTGATGATATCTGAATTATCCTAATTTTCGGACTATTAGCCGCACCTGAATATAAGCAGCAGAAGCTATGTTTAATGTCTGTCTTTCTCACTGTTGTTCTGTCTCGTACCACTCGCGGTAGAAGCCTGCTTGCGGAGGACCTCCACATTCCCCCGCGCGCGGCTACCGTACTTGTGTGTTGAAGCAAATGTGACGTCAACATGGTGGATGGTAAAATCCGTAGATTTAGGTATTACTCTAGTGGCCGTTAGCTGTAAAAGTCCATAGATAAGCCATATTGATATATAAGCCACAAGGTCGAAAAATGGGGAAAAAGTCACGGCTTATAGTCCGAAAATTATGGTAGATGCTATGAAATAGGTTTTACAATAGGAGCTTTTAGATGTTTTTAGAAGCCCCCCAGACAGATTTCACCTCAGGGTGTCTTAAGCCGGGCTTACACTGTGTGATTTTTTGCCCTTTTCGGGCAGTCTTTCCAGTCGTGCAAGAATTTTCCGATCGGCCCAACTTTAAGCCTGCATGGTTCATCATGCGTTGTGTAGTATACAGGGGGTAATGATAGCCTCTCACAACCACCTCTCGGTCAGGAATCGTGAGGTTGGGAGAAAATCAAACATGTTTGATTTTCAGTCCGGCAAATCGCTCAGTGGGCAAACAAGGACTCTTCTTCTTGTTCCTCTCAGATGAAAACACAAAAGCATGTCAGGGGTGCGAGTGAAATGGAGTTCTTTCTGTAAAATTGACAGACCGTAGTAGCCAGGTTTGCTCAGCCATGTCTTTGTCCAAATATGTCGTCGCCTTTTCTTTTTAGGGCTTTCAGCACAAAATTGCAAAATTGCAAAGGCAGCACGTTTCACTCTAGTGAGCTTCATATTCCTCTTCTATTAGTTTGGCTTCCAGATAGATGAGTCCCAGCAGTGCCATCTCTCTCCAGGGCTGAGTCCGATGTGGTTTTGAGACTTGCAGTGTGAGCAGGTAGATCGGATCAGAGCTGTAGCTATGTGCAACGACAGAAAAAAATCACACAGTGTATGCCCAGCTTTATCTTAATATTAAAGAATGGAAGAAAACCTGTCACTGTAGTGAACCTACATTTAATTAACAACCTATTCTTGTTTTAAAGATTTAGCTTGAAATTATCTTTGCTAAATCTCAATAACGGAACTCCACAGGGTTCTAATCTCAGCCCTACTTTATTTTCCCTCCATTGATTTAATA